CATAATCAGACGATAAAAATAATGGATTCTTTGATGATGTATGATGATATTTGAAACGAACTAATTTTTGACTTTCAGAATTATTCAATTGATCTAATTCAGCTGACAATAATCGTAAATTTTGATTATCTTTACCAATAAATTGTTCATGATAAACAATTAAATTTGCTAATGATGCATCAAAGTTCATATCAAATGTTTTCATTATAGTTTTAGTAACTATTGATTCAAGTGTTAAACGAAGAAATGTTTGATCTTCATCTTTGTCATTTGAACTTTGATCAATATGTATATCAATCTTTAATAGAAACAGATAATTCTAATTCATAGAAGAAAAATAAATTTTTACTCTATTAAGTGTAAATATTGCTTCTAATTGTGTTAATTGTCCTTCGAATTCTTTCTTTTTCTCATCATTGTCAACTGATTTTTCTTCTTCAGTTGTTTCTTTCATCGGTGTTATTCCTTCGACTGCTTGTAGAGTTTGTTCAGTATTGTTCAATGATGATTGTAAAGGTGATGACTAAAATAATTATTCATTTATTCATTCAAAAAAAGAAAAACTCAACAAACTTCTGATTCCATTGATGGTACAACTATCGTTGAATTTTTCGATTTCGGCAAAGGAATCGATTCCATATGATTGATTATTTGAAATAAACGTTTATCGGATAAACGTAAATCTACATTAGGAAGATTTCCAGCAACTTTCCAACTAGAATAAAAAAAAAACAAATTAAGATTTAATTCCAGTCTTAACCAAGAAAAACGTACGCAGGTAAATTTGCATCATCAGTATAAATACATTTTTCAAGATCTAAATCAAGTTCCAATGGTTTAATTAAATGTAATCGAGTATCTTTTTCTTGACGAACTTTTTCCCAACTTTCATCTAAAGATAATTTTAGTTTTAAATGTATTTCTTTTTTGTTTTTCTATACTGTCATACTTCGATTTGCATAAATCAATTGAACATTTTCAAGTTTTAATTTAAATTTAGTGTACGACTTTTCACGAGCTTCTTCAATATCCTATTACGAATAAAATTGAAACGAAATAAAAAACAAAGATGTTTGTTTGTTTGTTTTACTTTTGCTTCTTTTAATGAAGTCACTTGATCTCCTTGATCATTTCGTTTGAATATTAAATGGCCAAAATCCATACACATCACTGCAACATCACTGAAACAAAAATTGATATGTTTACAAAGATTCGTAAGAGTAGATTGTTTTACTCTTGATAAATTCCATTTTCTGGTAAAAGAAAATAAGATGACTGAAGATCAAGATAAATATCCAATACTTTAATATTTTCAATATTATGCTTCATTAATATATATGAACGATGTTTAACATCTGTATAAGTTGAATATGCAGCTTGCTTAACACTAAATTAATTTTTATAAATAAAATAAATTCTATTTGAATTATAATTTACCCTTGAAGATTTCGTTGAGTATCTTGTTCAAAACATTCGGATAATTTATTAATTGTTGGCTAAATGAACGAAGATTTATTTTGAAAATTTAAAGAAATCAAATAAAATCAAATACTTACAGCATTATATTTGATTTCAAGAGATTGCGAAATAACTTTAATACGAAAATCAGCTAATTTATCTATTGGATTTGTTTCATATTCAACTTCTAATAATTTCTTTTCAACTTTCGATGTTGGCGATGATAATCGAGAAACAGGTCGAGCAAGAACAGGACGACTTTGATTAGAAAATTCTGATTCATTTGGATCTGTAGCAATGCCAAAAACTTGAAATGAACCCAAATTAAGCGATACTCTAAATAAAAAATGATCAAAAGTCATATGGATCGAATTTTTTGAACATACCCCATAGCTGATCTCACAGGTCTTCGTTTGAATTGTAAATTTGTATCAGGTATAGAAGCTCGAGCAATAACTCGAAATCTAGAAAAACGATCATTAACGTCTATTTTCAATAAAATATTTTCATTTACTGAGCATCATTTTCATTGATTTTCGACCAAACATTGACTTCAAGTAAATTTAATTGAATCCCTAGATCAATATCGATATACTACAATCAAACAAAAATTTATTATTTTTTCCTTTTTTTTCGTTTAATATAAGTAATTAAAAATTTACCTCTTCAGGATAATTCGATATTGAAATATCATCTCCTTCATAACCAATAGCATCATATAGTTTGTTCTTCTCATCCGATGACATTACTTTTTGTAAATCGAGGTCTAGAGAAAAGGAATTTAAACAGATACTAATGATAATTAAAGATGTTTGAAGATCAAACTTGGATCATCTTGTGGTTTATTTCCACTCCACCAATTTGACACACCTCCCCACCAAGTGTTGGGTTCTTGTTCTTTCTTTTTCTTGACTTCAATTTCTGCAGCACACCGGACATATGTTAAATTAAAAACATTAAGTTTTTTTTCTAATTCCTATTTCATAGTAAATAATTTTTGTTATTGAATTTATGCTGTAATTTATTTTACTTGTGCTCGTTGTTTTTGTTCGACTGTTACTTTTCCTAATAGATCTTGAATATAAATCGAACGATATTCTCTTCGACAATCTAAATGTGTTTTAATATTTTTCCATTTATAACAATCAAATCTTGGTCGAATGTCTTCGTTAACAATGGCATCATATGCAAATTTCCATCTAAGAATTCATAATAAAATATAAATTTTTTCTCTAAAAAAATGAAATTACTTTTTTCGACCAGATTTTTTTTCGATATCATTTTTAATTTGATATTTAATATATTTTGATTTAATACTAAGATAATCTTGAAATTCAAATAGATCAAGTAAATCTAAGTACTAAAAAATCTAACTGATAAAAACACAAAAAAATCTTTTTTTAATTCAATTTACCTGATCACGATTAATATTTAAACTAATTTCATCTAAATCAACTTTAATATCAAA